CATTCCTGACCCTCGGTGGGGATAGCAGGAAGCTGAGCTTGACTTGGCCCTTACGCTCTATGGGTCTCAGCCTCTCCACAGGCCCTTCCCAGCAGGTACTCAAGACCCCAAGGGACGCAGGTGGAAGCTGCCAGTTTTCTTAAAAGCTAGATCCCGAAGTGGCTTCAGGACCCTTGCCTGTGTGTGGCCAGGCCCAGAGTCAAAGGGAGGGAAAGGGACCCACCTCCAAGGAGAAGCTCGACAAAGACTGCGCACTCCCCACGGCCTCTCCTCCGGTTCCCGGGTGGGAGGCGCGCTACCCTCCCAGACTCCTAAAGCCTTCATCAGCGCCACCACAGCAGGATCTAGTTCAACACGGCTGTGTGGGAAGGTGCTGGATTCACTTCCTCCCACGAACACAACACCTGTACAGCTACATACAGAACAACTGCCTCGAAAATAAAAACCCCAGAACTAGCTGAGCAACTCCCACACACTGGGCCAAGGCAAAAAACTCCCGTCGAAGTGGCAAGGAGAGGCCTGAGCCGTAACGTGGCCGTAACTCCCATCCCCAGCGTGGCGGCCTCGATACAGTGAGTCACAGGCTCACCCCTGAGCTTCTCCCTGGGGAGCAAAGGGCCTGAGCCCTGCATCTGGCACCCCAGCTTTTAAGACTTGCACCTGAGCGACAAGCCCCCACAACATCTAGCTTTGAAAGCCCAGGGGGCTGTGTCCACGAGACCCACAGGCTGCAGCAAACTAAGGAATAGTTCTTAAAGGGCTCACACATGGACAGCTCCCCACCCCAGGGCCCGGAGCAGAGGCTGCGGATGGAAGAGCACCCAGCCTTTCTGAGAAAGAGGCTTGTTTGCTGATCTTAAAGCCTCAACCTGAAGAGCAGGTACCATCCCTGCCCCCTCCCCCTGCCTCCCTCCAGCTCATCAGTAGCTCCCTCTGCCCAGGGACACCTCTAGATTGCCTGGCTCGGTGGCCAGTGGCGACTATGCCCACAGGCCCCCAAGACGGTAGCAGATGGAGAAAGCGTTCTTAACCTGCTACCCCTCCCAGGGCCCCCAGAGAGGCACAGAGAGGCGCCCAGTCTCCCTGTGAAAAAGGCCCATTAGCTTGTTTTCATAGCTGTGGCCTGAGGGGCAGCCTTCTAATTAGACACACATAGGCTTCTAATTAGACACATCTAAGGGCAACTGGAATCCTCTCGGAAGGCTCCGGAGGGCCTGCGCTCTCTTCGCCCTGTGCCTCTCAGCGCCGCACAGGCTGGCGTCTCCTGGAAGCCTGGGCCTGCACCTGGTGCTCTGGTTTCTGTGGCTGCCGCCCAGGGGTGCCCCCTCGGTCACCTGGCTCTGATGCCAGCAGGACTGTGTTCACAGTTCAGTGGGATGGCAGCAAGGAGAGAACAGTTCTGAACTGGCTACCACCCGGGGCCCAGGGCTCAGGGCTCAGGGCTCAGGGCTCAGGGCCCAGGGCTCAGGGCTCAGGGCCCAGGGTTCAGGATCCAGGGCTCAGGGCTCAGGGCTCAGGGTACAGGCGAGAGACGTCACCTCCCAGAGGCAGATTCGCACACGTCAGCAGCTGCTGCCAGGTGTGGCTCACAGTCAGTCTAGCCAGCCGTGGGCAAACTACGGCCCGTGGGCCGGATCCGGCCCGTTTGAAATGAATAAAACTAAAAAAAAAAAGACCGTACCCTTTTATGTAATGATGTTTACTTTGAATTTATATTAGTTCACACAAACACTCCATCCATGCTTTTGTTCCGGCCCTCCAGTCCAGTTTAAGAACCCATTGTGGCCCTCGAGTCAAAAAGTTTGCCCACCCCTGCTCTAGACCCAGGTGCGGACCGAGACACACCCCTTCAGGACCCTGATGGGTCTTGGCAGGCCCTCAACCCCGGGAGCCACTGAAAAGGAGTGGGCTGCTTGGACGGCACAGAGATCTGAGAACCACCCGGGCCAGGGCGGGCGAGCAATAAGCTTCATCACTACCTGAGGCTGCTCCTGAGCGGTGCAGCTCCCGCTTGTAAAGTAAATGAGTCACGGAGATGTGACGTGCCGCACGGCGACTCCATCGTGAACAGTACTGGATTGTACATTTGGAAACTGCTAAGAGACTAGATCTTAAAAGTTCTCATCACAGGAAAAAATACCTCTAAGGTGGTGTGGTGATGGGTGTTAACTGACTGCGGTGATCATTTCAAAATGTGCACAAATAGTGAGTCATATTGTTCACCTGAAACTAATCTAGAAGTTCCATGTCAATTACATCTCAATACAAAAGGCTGAAACATCAGATGTCTCATCAGGAGCCAGGAGCCAGGAATACTAACGGCACCGAGGGGCGGGGACAACCGGTCAGCTTGCCGCTGGACCACGAAGCCCACTGTGCTCGCTCCTTCCATGCCCTCGCCCTCACCCTTGCTCCGGCCCCCGGGCTGGTTCACCAGACGAGACACATGCCCCTCCGTGGTTATCACCAGCAGGACTGAGTGCCATGGAGAGAGCCATCGGAAGGAACCCGCAGGGGGAGGACATCAACCCCACCCCAGCCCCTCTTCCTACTAAGACCAAGACTCCCCACCCCCAAACCCCGACAAGTGTCCACAGTTGTTCTGGGTCCCGAGACGGCTTACACCCCGAAGGCTCTGAGTTCTCAACTCATTCCCGAGAACATGGGGTTTGCTATTTGGGGCAGCGCTGACGCCCTCCTAAAGGCCAGCAAGGGCCACCAGGGAAGAGTGGCCAGCAGGCAAGAGGTGGCCGGACGCGGCACGGGGCCCCAGCCAGCAGGCAGCGGTTTCTGAGGCTGAGCCACGGCCACTGCTCTCGGAATGTCTAGCTGCTCTGCAGCTCCCATGACAGGGAGGTGAGGCCGGAATTCCCGTTTGTGGGGCCTCGACACCCTCTGCTGTCATCTCGGGGAGGCAGCCACTGCACGGCCTGGAGCCAGGGGCGCTCAGTGTGGAGACCCGGCAGCCTACTCCCCGGCACCTCCCTCCTGCGCCCCTTTGGGCAGCCACCAGCCCTGCCAGCCGGGCCCAGGCCTGAGCCTGCCAGGGCACTGGCCCCAGGAGCAGCAGGAGTGGGACCAAGGGCAGCCCTCAGCTGGGAGGGCGCAGTGAGCGTCTCCAGCGGGTTTGTGACTTTAAGAAAGGAACTAGCGCCCTGGCCGGCGTGGCTCTGGGGTTAGAGCGTCGCCTGTGCACCGGTTGGTCTCGGGTTCAATTCCGGTCAAGGGCACATACCTGGGCTGCAGCTCAATCCCCACCCTGGGTTGGGGCATGTACAGGAGGCAACCAATCGATATGTCTCTCTCACATAGATGTTTCCCTCACTCTCCTCTTTCTCTCTCTCCCTTTCCTCTCTAAAGATCGACAGGAAATCACTTAGGTGAGGATTAAAAAAAAAAGAAAGAAGCTATGGAAAGGGACACCCACTTCCCCCTGAGAACTAAACGCTTCTCAGCTTCCAGCCAAGGCCAGCCCATCCCTGACTTCAGGCTTCCAGGCACTGGGGGTGATGTGAACACTGCCCCTGCCCTGGCTAGGGACACCCTCCCCGGCCAGCTGCGACTTCGCCTCCCCTCTGATGCAGCTTGGAGGTGTGTGTGTGGGGAGGGGTACCTGGAGGCCCAAGGGAAACACGTGCCCACCGTCTAGCCAGGCCGGGAAGTTCACACAGCACCGCCTTCAGTCTGTGGCCACCTGGGTGTCCCACCTGCCCACGTGGCGCTCTGTGCAGGGGAAGCTCCAAACGCTGGGAGAGTCTTTTGCACTCAAACCAGAACCCGCGCTCCCTGTGACCTGCAGCAGCGCTCAGGGCTCCGGGCCCTGCGAACGGGCAGTCCAGCCGCTCAGCGCTCACTGCTGTCCTCCCGGCAGCCTGGGGCTCTGCCCCCGCATCCCCGCTGGACCGCTAGAGCGCGGGGTTTGCGGGGTCCCAGCGCTCTGACCACTCTGCCTCCCAGCCTGTTGGGCCTGGTGCTATCCTCCTAAACCCCCAAAGAAAATCAACCCCCTCTTTCCTGGGGCCTCTTCACACCCCAGTCCTTTCTCCTGGGGCCTCTCCCTGCCTGCCGGTCAGTCCCCTCACCATCCTGGGGACTGGGTCGCCTGGCGCCCTTCGGGAGGCGAGAGGCAGCCATGGACACAGGTCCAGCTCTGGAAACCGCCTCTCCACCCCGGGCCCCAGGTCCCTCCCGATGCAGCCGGGGATTCTGTTTGTGGGGCCCCCCAGCCCCTATCCCGCAGGGTGTTCCCTCTGCGCCCAGAGCTTGCATCTGCCTCCATGAAACCCACCCTGTGAGACGCCGCCGTGTTTCAGCCGGTCGAGTCCCTGGAACGAGACCGACGGTCACTCAGGGCGAAGTGTGTCCCAGGCCGGTGGGTCACGGCCTCCGGGAGGGAGGACAGGACGCTGACAGCCCGGGGCTGACAGCAGGCCAGCGCCAGCACCCAGGCTGGGACCCCCCTTAAACGGCCCCTGGGAGGCCCTTCAGCCAGTTATGGACCCCCGCTCTTGACCCAGCCTCCACACCCCCCTCCCCGCCTCCTCCTCGCCCGGCTCCCCGCGTCCCAGCAGGACAAGGACAGGCTCGGCTCCTTGGGTCACCGTTGCCCAGGCCGCCCGCACGGCGCTGAGACCTCAGCGATGCACCGCGAGGGTCAGGGTGAGGCGCCCGCGGGCCCCGGGAGAGCACCGGCACCGCAGCGCTGGGCGCGGAGAGGAGGGCAGGAGCAGCGCGCGGAGAGGAGGGCAGGAGCCCCCGGGGTGAGCGGCTCTGGATTCTGAGTCCGGGCTCCGCGCGCGGGGGCCGCAACCTGGGGCCCCGCAACCTGGGGCCCCGCGGAGAGCTGGGCTCCTCCGCAGGAAAAGGAGAAGCAAGAATCCGGGCTGCGGGCCGGCCTGGCGGGGGGCGAGGGAGGCTGCGCCTGCTCTTAAGGTGTTACCGTAGCGCAAAGTGCAGGGCGGGGCCGCCTTTTAAAAGGAGCGCCTCAGCGGAGGCTGATCAGCCTCATCACTACCAGGTGACTGAGGGCCCCGCGGACACAGGGCTCCTCCCCCGCGTGTCCGCGCGTCCACGGATGAACCACGCGCCGTGGCCCAGGGGAGAGGAAAGCACTCCGTTCCCGGCAGGCGGCGGCCTGTCTGCTGGGAGAGAATCATCATGACGGTGAGTCCCCTCTGTGCGTCCCGGGAAACACCGGAGTTGATAGGCAAAAGCTGTGTTTCCCCCGACGACGAGGAGCAGCTGCTGTAAGAGGGCGGGCGTGTGGGAGCGACGTGGGCGATGGATCTGGGAGGAGACCACAGTGCGCCCCGGGGAGCCATTCGCTGAAGCCGCGCTGTGTTTTCTGTGCCCGAAGTTCCCTGGGGAAGAGCCGAGCTGCTGGAAAAGTTCCACTTCGGTTAGTCCCAGCCTGGGCGCCAACAGCAGGCCGCGCGCGCCCTCTGCTGTCTCTTCTGGGTTTTGCCTTCACGGGGAGGAGAGCTGGGGCCAGAGGAAATGGAAGGCCACAGGACTGGACTCAGAACCTGGGGCTCTCCCAGGGCCAGAAGCCCCCCACTGTGGATTTGAGCAGGACCCGTAGCCCCTCAGCCTCTGAGCTCACAGGTGGGGCTGGGAGAGGCCCGCTCACTGACCAGGTGACCCCCAGAGCACAGTTCCTTTCAAAGACCTGGTACCGGGGTGGCGGGGAGAGGGAGTCTCAGGAAGAGGTGTCCTCAGAGCACTGAGCAAGGGACACAGTATGACTTTGCCGCGACCCGGAAGGCGGTCAGAGGACAACGAGAACTTCTGTGAATCATTCCACGTGGCTTCCTGCCCGGAGTCTCCATTCCCCTCTCCTCTCCTCTGATAGCAAAGCTTCCCACCACTTGTAACGTGTGTATGTGAAGGCCGAGCGAGGGGTAACGTGTTTGAAGCGAGATGCCCATTCCTTTTTATTTTTACACTAGAGGCCCGATGCACGAAATTCGTGCAAGAGTAGGCCTTCCTTCCCCCAGCTGCCAGCACCGGCTTCCCTCTGGCACCTGGGACCCAGGCTTCCCTCAAAACCCCCGCTTAGTCTGGAAGGTCGTCCAGAAGGATGTCCGGTCTCATTGGCATATTACACTTTTATTATTATTATAGATTTGTGGTCATTTACATTTTTGAGAAATATACATTAAAATTGTGTGTACTTGAGAAACCACTACATTTAATTTTTTTTAGATCCTTGAAACTGAGAACAAGCCAAGATGATGATAAAAAAAAAATAGGGAATATGAGAGTGGAGCTCAGAAAAGAAAAAAAAAGCTGAAAAGAGAAAAGAAAAATCTTCAGAGAAATGGACTTTGTTGAGTTTTTAAGACCTGGAAACATTGTCAGTGGGCACGTTTGCATGTCCAAATGCACTCATGCCATTACTAACACCGATGAAAGAAAACCGGATACAGCGACTAGTCCAGGTACCCAACAAAGGTGAGAACACGGATGTGAAGGCCTGAAATAGTATCAAACGTTTAATATTTGGACAAATATCATGACGCTTTTGATGGCGTTTACAGTGCATTATTTACTGAAAACAATGGATATTTCTAAAGTTCAACAGAAATGATTTTGAAATTTGATGCTAGAGTGGCCAAAACATATAATTTGGATAAAAAGTAAAGAAATAACCTCTCTTTTGAGTGAAGAATTCAAAATGAGATTATTCATGTATGAGTAATAAAGTGAGAAATCATACGTTCAGCAAATGTACTAGGGACTAGGGACAAACATCATGTTGAATTGTTGAGTAACTAACGCTTATTACACATATCGTTGAACCATAAGAAGAAAACAGAAAAGTTGAAGTTGATGAATGTTTTTCATTGGTTTCACAAATATTGTTTAAAAATATTTTCTTCTAAGTGAAGAACAAAATTGTCTCAATTTTAGGCATTGATCTAAAGAGGAGTTCCTCACACTTTTTTAGAAAAGTCTGGATAGTAAATATTTTCGTCTCTGCAGGCTGGACTGTGCCTCCAACCATCCTAGCTCTTTCGGGCATCAAGGAGAGGCCTGTGTTCATCCAGAGCCAGCCTGTTCCAGATGGAAATCTTTAGGAAACGCTGGCGCTGGCGGAGACCACAGGATCCCCAGGCCAGGATGCTGGGCGGGGTTCCTGTTTACAAGCTGCCAGGCTAGGAAGCGGCTGCAGACGGAGGGACCCCATCTCGGTGTGTCAACATTCTGGTCACCACCTGCCGCTGGAAGGACAGAACTAGACAGGCCCGGGGCCCTTTTATTTCATCGTCTCTTATCGATGCTGCATGTTTTCTTTGTGAATATTTTAGGGCTTGGATCATTGAACTGGATTCCCATACCTTCCAAGTGATCCAAGCCATTGACCAGCCACGTGGAGTCGTTACATTGCAAATTTAAGTCCTATTCTTTTTTATTTGTTAGGTTTCTTTCTGTGGCCCAACCCATCCCCTGCACATTTCCAGAAGAGGGAACGCAAAAGGGAAAAGAATGAAGCCTCTACAACTGCCTCGGGGCTTTCATCCCAGCACATCTGAGCCACATCCTAAGCAGACAGCATTTACAAGGGAAGCTTAAAGTGGAGACTGTATTCCACTGCATGTTAACAAACAGTTTTGTTATTTCTCTAACAACACGTGCAAGGTCACCTTGAAGTTATGGAATGGAGAGTGTGTGAGTTTCCCATTTTTATTTTTCGAGATGTGCCACAAGGCTGGCCTAGGCCGGGATTGGGCGCAGAACGCAGAGAGAAGTAGAAACCACTTGTCTCTTGAAGTTTGCCTGCTGGTCTCCTAGCAACCGGCTCCTTGTTGGAGGCACAGCTGAGGTGTCTGGGGACCCAGAATGTGAAGAGGCACATATTCGCTTTTCCACCAGATAGTGAATTTTTTTGTAATTGTTACAAATACTCCATTTAAGCGACAGTGGATCTCCTGCTGGCTTTCCAGGTGGAGGAGAGAGACAAAGACCTGCCAGGCTGGCATTGAAGTCCCTGGAGCCTCACCATAGAACAGGCATAGACTGGAAGTACACCGTGTCTCACCAAACTCTGACCCAACTGGTATCAAAGCCCTGGTTCCGCTCAGTCTCCAAGGAACGGTCTCCCGCCTGATGCCTGGCAGAGGAGAGGGGAAGCGTCAGATGGAGCCTTTACAGTCTTTTCTCAAAATGCCTGGCATACAATAAAAATTATCAAACATGTGAGGAGCAAGATCACAGATAACTAAGCAAACAATTAGACTATAGAAATAAGGTGGTCCAGATATGAACAGTTAGGAACTTTTAAATAGCTGTGATTAATATATTCAAGAAAGTAGAGAGAGAAAATGGCAAAGGAATAGATGGCAGAATAGAGAATTTTTATCAGGCATTTGGAACAGAATCAATAAAAACAAGAATCAAATAGACATTCTCAAACTGAGGAAATACTAGATCTAAAATGAAAACTCAATGAATGGCCGATTGTGATCACAATATACTAACTAGTGGGAAGACAGGTCATTAGAAAATATTCAAAACAAATTATACAGAAGAAAAATATGGAAAAATAGACATTAATCGTGAGACATGGGGGTAATTGGAGACTCAGAAGGAGCAGACAGAGGGAGGGACTGCACAGAAACAATTGTTAAAAGGATTCTGACTGAAACATGTCCCAAACGGATGAAATACACCATCCCACAGATTCAAAAAGCTCAGGGAACCCCAATAAGATCAATGCAAACGTGTAGAGCCCTTCTGTGCTGTTTTATTTTTTTTTATATTTTAAAAATACATTTTTATTGATTTCAGAAAGGAAGGGGGAGAGAGAGAGAAACATCAATGATGGGAGAGAATCATTGATCGGCTGCCTCTTGCACACCCCCCTACTGGGGATTGAGCCTGCAACCTGGGCATGTGCCCTTGGCCGGAATCGAACCTGGTACCCTCAGACCACAGGCCGAGGCTCTATCCACTGAGCAAACCCGGCGAGGGCACATCTGTGCTATTTTTAGATCCTGAACTGAGTACAACAAGAAATAAGGGCTTAGACTTAGAGGAATAGGAATATTTAATCAGGGGCTCAACCAGCTTTGGTGAGAAAACTTTGACATATTCCAAGAAACTCTCTGTAATTGCTCCCCATTGCCTGAGGCACTTGAACACTGAGAACTCCTGCTTTGCTCTGACTCTTGGAATGCTCCCTCCTCTGTGGCGTCTGCGCATCCTTCAAGACCTGTTGGCATGGGCTGCTGATCACTGCTCCCCACGCGGGGTCGAGGGGAGGGCATTGTGCTGTGTTCTCAGGAGAGGAGGGTCACAGAAACACGCCTGGCCCCTCCCACCCTCCTGGCTGTGTCTCCTTAAGAAAGGAGGGCTCGAGAAGTCCACACCCCACCCTCACGTTCCCATGTCTCTATTTGGTGAGGCTGAGAAAACACCTTCCACAGCTCTGTTGTGCATCGTGTGCAGTTCCCGAGGCCTCGACTAGGAGGGAAATGTGAGGGAAAAATACATTTTGCCCATAGGCCAAGCCTCATTCTCTAATCCTGTCTTACACACAGTATTTTACTCCCTAGTCTATATTAATTGGTTCAAACTCCAGGGGGCTAAGAGTAAGGTTTATTATCACCCCTAAAACCCCAATAAGGTGCATCTCAGAAGCGGCATCTTCTCTTCAGCCTTTCGCAGCCCCTCCGAGCGGCATGAGGCTCCCTCTCTGCTCTGAGGCACTTGGCTGCGCACCACATTGTGTGGTAACGGCTTCTCCATCCAGGCGTCTTCCGCCCTCGGCCCAGGCTCGCTGAGGCAGGTGCGCACCTGGCTTGCTTTTATTCTCTCACATCAGCTCACACAGCGTCCTGCACATCCCAGGTTTTCAGCATGTGTTTAAGAAAGGGACTGGCCCTGGGGGTCACGGGTTTGATTCCCAGTCAAAGGGCATGTACCTTGGGTTGCAGGCTTGATCCCCAGCCCTGGTCAGGGCATGTGTTGCAGGCTTGATCCCCAGCCCTGGTCAGGGCATGTGTGGGAAGTGATATGTCTCTCTTTCATCGATCTCTCTCTCATCCCTTCCCTCCCTTCCACTCTCTAAAAATCAGTGGAAAAATATCCTTGGGTGAGGATTACTCAGTGGAAAAATATCCTCAGGTGAGGATTACTAAAAAAAAAAAAAAAAGGAAAGAAAGAGACTGCAATTTCCCCAAATATCACTAATGTTAGCAACTCAATCTTTGCTCTGTAGCCATTTTCAATATTAAGTTTTCTTATTAATTCAGAGTAACCAGGAATGGGCTCTAAGTGTCAATGTTTTCAATTTTTTTTACCTTTCTGATGAAATTTTTTAATACATATATACACATATAACTTTATTATATGCATTTCTTTACTCTTTGAAATTGAATATCTTGAGCATGATGTAACCTTTCAAATCTTAGGACCATGGCCCTTAGTCCCAATAGACTGTTGAGATAAGTTTCTTTGCACCTGCATTAGGTGACTGCTGTGATTTTCAAGTTCAGGGTTTTCGATCTTCTCTTTTTATGTTATCTGACTCTCCTTGTCTCTGACGGGCTTACTTCCAATAACTAGTTAGTTACTTCTAGTCCTGTGGTGGCTAGGAGTCCAGGTGACTAGGACTGTCATAACTATAGGTGTCCCAAAAATGTATGCACACTTTGTTTTGTTTTTTAATTTCTTTATTGATTAAGGTATTACATATGTGTCCTTATTCCCCCATTCTTCCCCCCCCCCCACTCATACCCTCACCCCTATGTTGTCTGTGTCCATTGGTTAGGCTTATGTGCATGCATACAAGTCCTTTGGTTGATCTCTTCCCCTAACCCCCACCCTCCCCGACCTTCCCTCTGAGGTTTGACAGTCTGATCGATGGTTCTCTGTCTCTGGATCTGTTTTTGTTCATCAGTTTATGTTGTTCATTATATTCCATAAATGAGTGAGATCATGTGATATTTATCTTTCTCTGACTGGCTTATTTATAACGCTTAACATAATGGTCTCTAGTTCCATTCATGCTGTTGCAAATGGTAAGAATTCCTTCTTTTTTACTGCAGCATAGTATTCCATTGTGTAGATGTACCACAGTTTTTTAATCCACTCATCTGTAGATGGGCACTTAGGCCATTTCCAAATCTTAGCTATGGTGAATTGTGCCACTATGAACATAGGGGTGCATATATCCTTTCTGATTGGTGTTTCTAATTTCATGGGATATATTCCTAGAAGTGGGATCACTGGGTCAAATGGGAGTTCCATTTTTAGTTTTTTGAGGAAACTCCATACTGTTCTCCACAGTGGGCTGCACCAGTGTACGTACACTTTGAATGATTATAAAGTCAGTGTTTAATAGCATGCAGGTCATTTTCAAAATTTAAAAGAATCTACAGAAATGAATAATTTTTTGTCAATGCCCTGTTTCCAAACTAATGACCATTCTGGTCCAGGCACGCTGATAACTTGAAGCAATGGAATTGCAAACATCAAGAATCATTTTATTCAGTATTCGTGCGCCATCAATTCGTCAACTGTTGCCATTTTGTACCGTAAACTTTATCTTTTATGTATCCTCATAAAAAAGTCTAGTGGATTTTGTACCGTAAACTTTATCTTTTATGTATCCTCATAAAAAAGTCTAGTGGATAAATTTTCTTTATTCAAAGCTTAGTCTGGCTTCACCCATTATTTCAAATCAGTTAAACCTAAAAAGAAGTGAAAATTGAGTTATCAGCTGTTAAAGTAATTATACAGGCAATGTTTGCACTTCACCTGGGTTTTCAAACTTCCAGTAGCATTTTAGGATGAATTCCCGTTGTTCAAAGCTTAGTCTGGCTGAAAAGAAACACCAGCTGAGCTATCAGTTGTTAAAGTGTGTATAAGTGTTTTTGGGACACCCTGTATATGTTAAAAGAGTGAAAGGATTCTAAGAGAGAAGGTCTTTGAAAGAGTCAAGAGCCTGGCTTAGTGCATGGACATTGCGACAGCCACAGTGATGGTCGATTCGTCTATCAACTGAGTGATTTCTGTGTCTGTCACCCCCATGCTTGGTGCTGGGATGGGGGCTTGGGGGAGACATAGCAAGGAGCACAAAGAGAAAGTGAAAATCCTGGCTCTGGACGTAGGTTAGATTTCTTAGAGAGAACAAGCATGGGAGGGGGAGAAGGGAGGGTGAAAAGACAGCTGCTGAAAACACTTACAGGAGAAAAATCTATTTGTTGTGCTTCATTTATTGATGAGCTCACGCTTAGCAGCGACTCTGAATTAATTTACTTCAAACACCTTCAATACAGCACAACAATATAATTAGCACCATGAGCCGAGCAACCAGCCTTCCCAGACTGCATTGGTTTAGGAATTAAAATAGTCTTCTAGGGAACTGAACCAGAAGGAATGTGGTTTACTTTGTATTTTTAATGGTACTTCTTATTAACTACTAGGGAAATTAGGCATCAGTTTTGGAATCAGGTAGTTTTTGACCAACATTAAATATATGCAAATATTGACTTTACTTCCAAATTGGATTATATGTATTTTGGGAAAGATCTGTGCAGGCAGTTCCATCAACAGTGTCATGCTACAGAGCAGGAAAAGTAAGGAAATAATGTATAAGACTTTATTTCTCCCTTGTAGTGATATTTAAACAGTTCTTTGTTTCATATAAAATGGTTTTATAGTTTTCTTTCATTTTTTTCTCAATTTATTGACAAGTGTAGCTTGTTGTGTTTTTACTTAGTTGACAGAAATTGTTCTTTGTGTCTCTTGTGAGTCCCTCTTAGTTATGTAAATATAAAGATAGTTGACCTCATTAGTCTAGAATTAGGGATAACAGAATTCTAGAATTTTTTAAGGGTCCTAGAAAAGCTACCTTATCTCATGGAGATTTAATATTGTTTAGGTGGCAAACGGATCTACAGTTTCAGTGCAATCCCAATCAAAATTGCAGCTGGTTTCTTTGCAGAAATTGAAAAGCTAATTCTAAAATTTGCATGGAAATTTAAGAGACCCAGGATAGCCGAACAATATTGAAAAAGAAGAACAAAGTTTTATAGCTCCTGATTTCAAAACATATTACAAAGCTACAGTAATCAAGACAGTGACATACTCATAAAGATATACATAGAGGCCAAGAGAAAGGAAATGAGAGATAAACTGTCACATTTATAGTCAACTGATTTTTGACAAGGGCACCAGAATAATTCAATAAA